GCCTGTATTACCCAAATCAGTACCTGGAGGAAAGTTTTCCAGAAAAGCCTGGCCAAACTGCTTTGGAATTTGTGCAAGAAGAAAATAATCTTTTCTTATTTAAACCCTCTAAAAGTTAGGGTGCATTTGGTATCTCAGCATATTCTGAGATAAGTTATAGGCTCATATAGTATCTATCACCTTCCAACCACTGGGCTAGAGACCTAGTTTTGGTAGCACACCAGAGGGAGCTCTCTCTCTCACAGGTTAAGTGACACACAACAAGGTTATAAATGAACTTCTAAATCACAATGCCAACTTATCAAATGATGAGTGGAAAAACACTTTCATAGAATGGCTATCATTGAGAAATCCAATACTGTGATAACAAATGCTCGAAGACTGTAGGGAGAAGGAACTCTTCCACATTGTTGGTGGGGATGTAAACTAGTCCAACCATTATGAAAATCAGTATACAGATTCCTCAAAACTAAAACCAGAAATTCCATTTTACCCAGCTATTCCTCTTCTAGGTACCTTCCTGAAAGAGTTAAAGATGTCATATTACGGTAACACATGCATACTCATGTTTATAGCAGCACATTTCATAATAGCTAAATCTTGGAAGTGGACTATATGTTCATCAGCAGATGAATGGATAAAGAAAATTTGGTGTGTATATATATATATTATCTTTATATATCTCTATCAGCCATAAAGAAGGCTACATTTGAGTCATTGTAGGAAAATGCCTGAACCTTGAGACTGTAATGTTAATGAAATACATCACACCCATAAGCATAAATTTTGCATGGTTTCTTTTATATGAGAAACTGAAAGTGTAAAAAATTTCAGGAGCAAAATAATAGATAATATGAAATAGTGATATAGATCTTTTGCAAGCTGGGCATGGTGGCACACGCTTGTAATCCCAGCACTTGGGAGGCTGAGAGGCAAGAGGATTGTTGCGAGTTTGAAACCAGCCTGGGCTACAAAGTGAGTTCAGGGCCATCCTGAACTGCATAGCGAGATTCTGTCTTAAAAAACAAAAAAACAAAAAACAAAAATGATCTTTTGCAAATGGAAAGGGGATTTAGAAATAGGGGAAAGAGGGAAAGGCAAAAGGAAATAAAAAGAATTAAGATGTGCTATGCACAATTACCAACTCTGTGTGATGAATGTCATTATTATGTATAGCAAGCTAATAAACATAAAAAGAACTTTTCATGTAGAGTAGGACATCTGATACCATCATCTTACCCACTATCTCATTGGAGACAGACTTACATTGGAAGACAAACCATGACAAAAATCTCTTAGGTATACCTGTTCTCAGAAGAACAGTATTGAAATCCTTCCAAGAAAGCCTATGAGTCCATGTTATTGTAGACATGGCTCCTCAGTGAGTGGAGAATACAGATCTCTGGGTAATCATTCTCACTCTTCAGCATGTGCCTGAATTGTCTCAGTGGCTCTTCATTTTTGTGATTCCAATCCTATCAACACACTTTTCTTCAGATATGTGGCTGCCTCTGAAACATTCATTTTAAATATCTGGTCTTACCTATTATATGCTGGCCTTGTATATTTCTTTTTCTTCTCTCTCTCTACCTCACTTCTCCTCCACCCTCTCTTTCTGGTACTGGAGCTTGAACCCAGGGCCTTCACACTGAGCTACATCTCCAACCCTTCTGATCTTATTTTTATTTTTTGTGACAGGATCTTGCTAAATCGCTACATTGCCCAAGGTGGGCTTGAACTTGCAATTCTTCTGCCTCATACCCTGAGAGTGCTGGGACTGTAGGTCTGTACTGCCAGGCCAGGCTAGGAGTGTGTACTTTGAATGCTGCGGGAATTAAGAGGTTCCACAGTGTCACATTGAGTGTAAGCTGTGCTGTTATTGTGCTTGTGCCCCACACGCATTTCTACAAGGGTTTAAAGTAGATCTGAACAAATTCAGTGTTGCTGAATCCTTTGCACAAGATCTTAAGAGCTCTTTCTTTTTTTTGTTGATGTTTTAAAAGCTGGAATATTGCAAAAGCAACAATTTTCAGCTTGGCTGAAAAAGCCTTTGAAAAAAGGCCTTCTTCAAAGCCTTTGAATTACAACACAAATAGCCAGATTAGTTTCTTTCACTCACTTTGCACCTTCTTTGGAGAAACTTTTGCTTTATCTTGTTGATGAACTCTACAATTTTTTTTAAAGGAAAATAAGAAACAGTGAAGACCCAAGAGGAGTATCCAGTCAAGCCAGTCCATAGCTAGCCTGAAAAAATAAATGGCCCATGCAGATGAGATGTTTAACATTACCTTTAAACTTACTAGTGGCATGATGGAGGCCCTTCTTTGAATATTTTGATATTATTTATCTTATTTTTATACATATATATTCACAATGTAAACTAACTGGTTTCCTGCAATATATATATATATTTTTTTTTTAATATTTTTTTTGAATCTTAAAGCATAGATCACCTTCCCTGAGGATTTATCAGTGCCTTCTCATTCTGCAATCTCTATAGCAGTGTTAGAAAAGATGAAGCACCGCTTCCTTTGATCCTAGGAGTTTACCTGAAATTGCTCCTCTGGTCTCCAACATATTGGTGTTGTTACCTTTGGCACCAGTGACAAAAATAATTTTGTTCTTCACAACGTCCTTCAAGTCTCAGTTTAACAGTTAACGGAAAAAAACAATTTATAAAATTGTGATTTTTAAATTTCCTCAGCTATTGGCGTATATTTGCTGCTCCTCATGAAAAAAATATTGTTATTGTGAAGCGTGTAAATGTATGTGCTGTTATATTTAGAAGCAAATGATGGCAATCATAATGTTCGGAGAAAACGGCAATTACAATGTTGTTTTTCTTTATTTTTTTCATTTATTTATTTTTAAATTTTGTGGTGCTTGAGCTCAAATCCAGAGACTCAAGCATGCGAGGCAAGCGCTATGACACTGAGTTGTATACTTTCAAAACTAAAATGCTGCTTTTTAAGTATTGGGCATCCCAATGTGATGGTTTGTTACTCATATTTGACAATTTACTTTAAATATTTGTTAAAATTTTGGGAGCTGACGTGTAATGAATTTTATTTTTTCCATTTAAAAGCAGGCTTTTATTTACTATTTTCTTGCAGACTATCAGGCTTTTAGAAATGAATGATTGAGGTTAAGTGAGATAAACCTGTATTGACATTTCTTTAATTTCTAGGGCAAGTTCATGCTGTGGTTTTGATCCTCTCATTTTCTAAATTGGAGAACTTTAAAAAAAATTGTGGTTATCTGGTTCCTGTCCCACCACTGAATACTGGGTGTGTTAAAGAGGGTGATAACTTGAACATAAGAGCTACTTCTGGTCCTCAGGGAGATCCTGGACTTTGATAGGGACATGGTAACTGCCTAGGACTTCAGATTGTCTCTTTCAGGAAAGAAAACTATGTCTGATGGAAGAATTGTGAGCCCAGATGTTTGCAGTCCCTGGCATGAAGCTATGGCAGACATGCTAGCTGCCCCAGTATCTGTCCTTTTCATTTTTCTCAGTAATAAAAGCCTAAATATTAGGTGGGCATTTGTCCAACCAGTTAAAAAATATTTTCTAGTCTCTCTTGCAAGAAAGTGTGGCTGTATTACTAAGTTTTGACCAAGGGATCTAAGAAGTGGTTTATATGAATCTTCTCCTCCTCCTTCTTCTCTTCCTTTTCTTTCTTTCTTTTTTTTGAGACAGGGTCTCATTGTGCAGTTCAGGTGGTCTTGAACTCACTGTGTAGCCCAGGCTGGGCTCAAACTTGCCTGTGACCCTCCTGTCTCAGCCTTCCAACTGTTGGAATGAGAAATTTTCTTAAAGAGAAATTTGTCCTCTTCCCCTTCTGGGTGACGTGGTCGTTTGTTGTAAGTCAGGGTGGAAATCACGGGTGACAGTTGTCAGAGCAACCTGTTGAAAGGAGTCTGGGATCCCTGATAGTTGTAGATCGGGGTTTAGGACTGTGATTACCTGAGAGAGAGACACATATCTTTTCACCGTTGTTATTCGGGCTTTTCATCTGAGTATTCTTTGCAATACTTTACATCTGTCTTACCTGATTTAGTTTTCTTGCTTAATTGTGCAAGAATTAAGTGATAGTACTATGAAAATAGAAACATTGACTCTTGTTCCTATTTGTCCCCCCAGGGGCTTAGAATAGTGCTAGGAAAACAGTAATGACTTAAAAAATATTTGCAGAATGTAGACTAGACGATTAGGTAGTTCTTGTTTTAAGAAAACATAAAGATTAGAATTGCAAAGAAACTGGAAGGTTATAGCAGAGACAAGGGTCCTTTAGGGCATTACAGGACTCCTAGGTCACACAGGATCCTTGAGCCAAGCAGGTGTGGCAAAGCTCTCCCGCCAGGTCACACACCACGGCTGCTTCCCTGTGTACTGTGGCTGATGAGCACCTGCGAAGGATGCTCCAGTTAGGACAGCCCGGGGCTTAGCATCTGGGCGAGACGCCTCCTGCCGCTTCCTCCCACAGGAGGTGCGCGAACACAGCCAACAGATTTCTCAAGCTGCCCCAGGCAACCAGAGTTTAGAAGGTGCGGCGACTGGGGCAGTTCTGTCGCAACCTCAGGCCTGGGTCTGGGCTCCCGGCTCTCTCGGGAGCGCGCGGCGCCCCGCAGTCCCGCGGAGGAGCCCTGCCTGCGCGGCCCCGCAGACTTCCCTCCGCGGCCCAGCGGCGACTTCCACGCCCGCCGCCCCGCTGGCCTCCGCTGCTCTCCTGGGCCAGACTTTGCAGGGCAGAGCCTGAAGTAAAACTGGATCCAAGACACCTGCTATGCTGTACTGCGCCCCGGCGACCGCGCTCGCACCCCAGCCGAGCTCGGGTCGGAGAGGGGGACGCAGGCGCGGCCCCGAGCCGCGCTCCCGGCCGGCGCCGCGCGCGTTCGGCTCCAGGGCCTCGCGTCCCCCTCGCCCTCCGCGCTCCGGGTGTGCGGGCGCGTGCCGGCGCAGACCCGCCGGGAGCGCGCGCGCTCCGTCTCTCCCCGCCCCCGCGTGCGCGCCCCGCCCCCTCGGGCTGCGATACGCCGAGAGCTCAACATCCGAGGGACTTCGCCCCGGAGTGACCCGGCCCCGTGACCTCTCCCCTCCATCCCGCGCTGCGGCCGCCCGCTGGGCCAAGCCGGCGTTGGGCGCCGCGTCCCCTCCGCTCCCCGGCGTCCCCCTCCGGCCCTCCGGCTTCTCGTCATGGCGGCGCTCAGCAAGTCCATCCCTCACAACTGCTACGAGATCGGCCACACTTGGAACCCTTCCTGCCTGGTCTCCTTCCTGCAGATCACTTGGGGCGCCCTGGAGGAGTCCCTGAAGATCTACGCGCCTCTGTACTTGGTGAGCCCGCCAGCCTCTCCCGCGGGACGAGGGCAGGGGAGGCCGGGCCGGGCCATGGGCGCCCCGTCGGGCTCCAGGGCGCGTGCTGGGCCGGGTTCTCCCTCACGGAGGCGCTGGGCTCCGGGACTGTGGGTGGGCGGCTGGGGGCGGGGCGGCCCTAAGGAGCGGAGTCCCCGCGCCTCTTGGGAGGAGGGATGGGGGGGGGAGCTGTCAGCCCGGCTGCCTGTTGCTAGGGCGAGGATGGGCTCCCAACTTTTTGCGTTAAGTGTAGGACACTGAAAACCTGAAGTCAGGGACCTGAGTTTTCCTCTCCTGCTTTGCGATGGAGAAGTGTTTGTAGGTCAGTGAGGCTACGAGATTGCTTGCAGTCTGTCCTCACCTAATCCCGCGTGATCTCTCCCCCGCCTCCTCTCTCTCTCTCTCTGTTTTGAATGAGAAAGGGGAAATTTCGCCTTTCGCCCTTCGCCCTTTCGGCCGCAGATCTTGTCTCAGTGCGGAATGATAGGATTGTGACTTGAGGGTTTTGCAAATGTTTTTGCAAGTTTATGAAATAGGCTCCTGATTTGAGATTTTTTTCTTGGTTATTTAGAGTGGTTCCAGCCTTTTGAGCCAGAGAAGGTGTTTTAGGAGATCTGACTTGTGTCACATAAGTCATTTTATTATACATTGTTACATGTAGGGCAGTTAATGAGAATATTCAGAAATATGTATATGTACCAATGACTTGAGAACTATTAGAGAACTTTGTTCTTAATGTTCTTGCCAATAGCTTTTCTTCCGTAACCTCATCCTTGGTTTTAAAGAGTCATTACTTGACTGAACTTCATGGTCTCCTTTTATTGCCTCTAGAGTCTGGATCCTAAGAAGGCAAGTTTTTTTTTTTTTTTTTTAATTACTTTTGGCTGTGTGTTTCTTAAAAGTTCCACTCAATATTCAGTGGATGGTCAGTTAATTCTTCTTATTGAAATAATAATTTGGTTTTATACCCAAACATGCCTGAAAGTGTATTGTGGCTATCTCTGGAATACCACTTAAAAAATTTGATTAGTTATTATAGAGATAAAGCAGGAGAAGATAGTGACTTTCTCTGAGATTGCAGGAGCCAGTTTCATTTTTATGCTATAGAATGGGGCTTCTCAAGCTTTAATGTGTTAAGAATCCCCTAGGGGTCATGTTCAAACGGGGATTCTGTAACAGTAGGTGAGGGGATGCAGAGGAACTGCATTTCTAACAGATTCGCAGGTAATGGTGACACAGGGGCCACACTTTGAAGCGTAAAAGTCTAGAGCAGAGGTCCATATAGACTTACTGGAGTTGGAAATAGCTTCCTTGATTTTCTTTGGCAAAAATTCATGCTTATGTTCCTTTCTCCATGAATTCTTCTACGGTTCTGATTTTGTTGTTGTGTTGGGGATTGGACCCAGGGCCTGGGCATACTAAGCAAGTGTTTTACAATTGAACTATATCCCCAACCCCAGATTTCTTGCACTCCGGATGTATTCAGCTGTACAGAAAGACTGTTCCTGGGCTAGGAATGTAGTTGAGTGGTGAAGTGCTTCCCTAGCATGTGCAAGGTCCTGGGTTTGATCTTCAGCACCACAGAGAAAGAGATACCGTTCTTGACCTCAGAGGATTATAGGGGAAGTAGGGGAGGGGAGAGTTTATGCTACGTAATTTTTCCCTCTGAAAAATTCATTCTTTCCTTTATTCAACAGATGTTTGTTGAGTGCCTGATATTTGTTCTGTCCCCAGCCTAGACATTTATTAGTTATATATTGTGGTGGAGAAGTTCAGGGGAGCAACAGAATGTGGATTTGCCCACTTCTGCCAGGTGGGGAGGGGGCAGAAAAAGAGTTGTATTTTACTCTTATAAGCTCCAACTATATTAAATACTTCTTGACCATAACTATTCCACCTCATGTGATCTTGTATCTTTTACAGCTGAGTGTTTCAAATTTTGGGTTGCTGTTCCTCAGTGGTTGTGAAATGAAATTAGTAGGAACTTACTAGCATCTTATTTTAAGTGAAATAGAAGAGGTTAGAAAATGTTAAAGCACATTGAAGTTATTATTGGTAAGCATTATTTCATGATAGTTTTGTTTCAGTTATATGTGTGTATGTGGATGGGGCTCCTTACAGCATATAGCAACGCTATGGTCTTTGTAAGTGTCGGGTAATTGTTGCTTAAATGTATGTTTCCATGTGTCAAGTAAGATACAGGGTATCTTGTATGGGAAAAAGTTGAGCGTTTAAAACAATTAGGGATATCTAGATTTGAATCTCAGCTTTATCCTTTACCAGCTGTTTGATTTCATGCATATTACTCATTTTCTGTGAGAATAAAATGAAATAAAGTAATGTCTTAAAGATATATTGTACATTTTCTAGTTCATCACAGGACTTGAATAATTATACTTTTTTTCTTTCTCTCCTTCCCAAAGAGGCCTTTAGGAGTAAAATTCACTGAACGTGGCCAGGGAAGAATTCTTGGAAAAAGGACTTTGCTTTGAAGATAAGGATGGACAGATATTGATTCTTGTAGTAGATATTTATAGAGTGCTTATTCTTAGTGGAAAGGTAGGAATGTGAATTGAAGTAGAAATCTATGTAGTTTTTATGGGAGAAGCAAGGCATAAATTATCTAAAGCAAGGTTTTTATACAGAAGTTACGAATACCTTGTTTAATATGTTTAATCCTTTACATCTTTTTTCTTATTTAATCTTTACACAATTCCAGCTTATTATCCTCATTTCATAGGCAGGAAAACTGAAGGTTAAAGAAATGAAGAGATTTATAAGATTTAATACTAGTGAGGAAAAGTCAGGATTCAGGTTTTTTTTTTTTTTTTGACACAAAGTTGGACTGAAAATCAGGCTAAAGAAACAAAGGATTTTTTGAGTCAAGGGTTTTCATGTACGAATAGTAACGTGATGAATGTGGAAGCCCTGGGTAGGCAGACTGGAAAGACTGCTTAGGAGTGATTGCAATAGATTCACCAAGTGGTGGAAAGAGTCAGAGGTCCTGTGAAATTCCACCTGGCAGTTTACCACCAGTGTGATCTTAGGGAAGATACTTCATCTTTTTATGCCTTTGACTCCTTGCTTTGCAGAAGATAATTATGTTCACCTTTCAGGACGTGGTGAGGACTTAAACAGGGTAACAGTGTGTAGCAGTGGCTGATGATACATAATAGGGCCCTAATAAAGTGGTGTTGTTATTGCAGTATTACATTGATGTGATCTATGTCTCTATCTTCCTTTAGAACATGTAGCTTACATTCAGCGGGTGCACCGTAGGTGTCTGAAGGAGCGCAGCAGGTATGAACAAGTGAATGAGCTCGCGAATAGTGTGAGAGAAGATACTTTTGTGGTACCAGAGAAAGTGGAAGGACAGTCCTAGAGGCATTTCACAGGGACCATGAATAGAATATTGAGGCACGGGGACTTCACGTTTCTCAGATTTCAAGTCTCATTAGTTCACTTGCCATTGTTGATAGAATGAAGGAATTCTGAAGGGAAGCTAGTTTTTGGAAGGTTTTTCTTTTTATCAGGAGTGGTTTTTGGAGTCTATATGATGGGCTGTTTCCATTCCTATGTTCACTCTCTTGTTCTGTACATCTGCTCCCATGTCTCTTTTCATCTTAGTACCTGCACTTGTAGTCCCTCCTCCTAAGCCACTTTGAAATGTGGATGTACTGTTCCTGTTGATAGTGAATCTTTGTGTTTTCACGATTTGTAAAAATTGATGAGTCTTCACTCATCAGTTTAAGTGTGTGTGTTTTCTTGGGGGGTGGGGACAAGATCTCATTGTGTAGTTCAGGCTAGCTTTGAACTCACTGTGTAGCCCAAGCTGGCTTTGAACTAGTGGTGATCCTCTTCCCTCAGCCGCCCCAGTGCTGGGATTATAGGCATTTGCCACTGTGCCTGGTGTATGTGGTTTTTAAAAAATATTCCTATATATATATTTTTATATATACTAACAGTTATGCATATATTAGAGGGAGTTTTATTTTATTTCTTGGATATTAGTTACTGCCACATAGTCAAAGTAAGTGGTATTCTTTAGTACACATTTATACTAGAAACAGTTGTTAAGCTGTTTAAACCCTAGAGTACCACTAAAATTGAGAAAAGCTTGTTGACCTTGGTTTTTGTGGCAAATTTTAGAATACTCAGTTGTCCATTTGGGAAATACAAGTTATGGGCTTTCAAATACTTGGGTGCCTTCTGTAAGAAGGAAAACATGTCCATTAACTTGAGATAGTTTTAAAACCTTTTTAATTATCTTTTTCCTAGGTCACTTTCTTTAGGATTTCCACATTGGGGTACTTGCAGTTATTCTTAGCTGAGTCCAAAATATACGAATGTTTCTACTTTGGGAAGGAATAATTTAAAGACTTGATACACCTTTAGAGATGTAGGTCCTTTTTTTTTTCTTGGGGGGGGGTCCTTCTTCATAGTATGAAAATGTTTACTCAATATTTGCTCCCTTTGAGCCATATAATTTAACAAATTTGTAGTTATAATCTAACAAACCTGTTAAAATCTGCCTGTCAGGTTATAAAGGATATGTTCATCACCTCTAGGCCTTGAATTAACATTTAAGCCAGAGTTGGAATTCTTAGGATTAAAAAACAATTGATGGACATTCTGTAGTCATTTGCCAAAGCTTGAACTCCCTAATTCTGAAGAAATCAATTCAGTGGTTGGGCTCATAACTAGTTTAGGGCAGTGGTGTAGCAGGTTTTCTAGAAATAAACAAGACCGGCCATGAGACTTTTGAGTTTTTTGGCAATAGGCATTTGTTTATATTTTTTGTTTAAAAAAGTAAGATAAGAGACACCGAAGTGACTAAATAATGCAAACTACCAGAGGGAGTATCTGTCTGAATTATCTGACCTCAGGGAGACCATGGAATGCTAATCTGTGCATATCACTTTTTGATTTTGCTTGAGGGCTGGTTTACCCTTGTAAGGGAGTGGCTGGCTTTGTCTCTATTC